TAGGTTTTCATTAGTTTTGAGTCACTTTTTGTTTTTTTTTGATCCCCGGACTTGTCTCCGTTCTACCAGTTTTACTATGAAATCAACGATTTTGTTTTGTTTTTGATCCTTATTTGTTTTTTTCTTGATCCTCAGATTTTGTTTTTTTTGGATCCTTATTTGTTTTTTTTGATCATCCACCCGCATTTTGCTGGACATGGAATTAATCCAGTCACTCACATGCTGGTACATCCATGGCTTTACATGACTTGATTAGTTTGCTTCAGAGGGCTGCAAGCCCCATCATCCAAAGAAAGATGCGATTCCAAATTTGCGAAGCGCCAGGTGTTAGCTTCGCGAGGTGTTCATGCGCGTCCCGGTTCAATGGTTGCGAGGCACAGGCAAAGACACAAAAAAAAGGAACTCGTATTTGCTAGAAGACAGACCGGAGAAATCAAGGAGCTGGGAGCCAGCGGCCGTTCGCATCTGGATGCAACTGTTTCGGGGTTCCCAAGGTTTGCAGGTCAACAGGCCTGCTAGAGCCACCAAGCGGGAGTTGGCATTTTTCCTCATTTACCTCAAGTCCAAACAAAGTCATCCGCATGTTTCGCAGCAGGTCGCCTTTGTGAAGGAGAGGGGCAAAAACCAAGTAGCAACTAAGAAAAGCTAAGTGGATATCGAGAAGAATTAAAGAGATATCAACAAATTGCACTTCCTAACCATGCCAATTACAGTTTTGGCACCTTTAAGAGCTTCCGCGCAAGTGCAGAGAAACAAGGAAAGAAAACAAGACAGCAATTAAAGAAGGATAGAACGAAAGAAAGAAAGAAGGCCATGGACAGCGCGTAAACATCTGGCAGCCCAAAGATCCTTGGCGAATCAGACAGGCCGACCTGATGCTCGGAGGAGCATGCTGGTGGACATTGGATTTTTCCTCCAAATTTGTCAATGTACCAACAATACGAACTGGCTGGTGGCACTGAAGCTATGCTGGGTTTCAGTTCAGCAAGGCAAAAGCGTTTTCGCTAGAGGGCTATGAGGCTACAGGAGCCGGAGCATAATCAGTGCGGCAATGTCACGAGGATGGGATGTGAGTGTGTCCGCGGCGGCAGCTCTGCGGGTAACGGTGTGGGTTCTCGGTACGAAGAGGAGGAAGCGTTTCACGAGTCGCTGAAGAAGAAAAACCTTCCAAGAGAAGAAATGCAGTGTAATGTGTCTGCCCTAGCGTCTTAAGGTCACCGTCAGAGAGAGACGTCCCCCACCAGCTCCCACACCAGCTCATCCGCCAGCTTCCCCACCACCTCCCCCAACGAAAAGTATTACTGTTCTAAAGCCACCCACCAGCTCCCCCGCCAGCTCCCCCTTCTCCACTACATTTGGTCAGCTCTGAGTCTTTGAGAGCGTCTTGTTTACATGTGGAACTTTGAATGTGCATGATCGGCGAGGGCAGGGCTAACTTGGCAGCCTCTTTGTCTTCATATTTTCTCAGGCGGCATCGGTTTACGTGTGGGCTCCTGCCCTTTGTGCGATGAACCTAGTTGTGAGAAGCTATCATGTAGCCATACCCGAGAACAGATAAGTATGCACATGACATGTCACGAAGCAGAATCGGCCCTCTGAAGCAGTCTTTTGATGATTCCATGCACTTGGTGAGCCTTGCAGTTGAAAGGCAGAGATGGTTCTGATGTGTTAAGAGAGCGACTTGCTGGTGTGTCAGGCAAACACAGAGCAGCAACTTAATGGCGTAAACGCCTGGAAGTCAAAGTTGTTCACAATCGGAATGGTTCTTCCTGCAAAATCCAGCAAAAGGGCCGGCGAGAGCTGTTTCGGAAGTGTTTTCGGGGTTTCATCATCAGAACTCATGCTTGACAAGTGACAGGTTGTATTACAGCCGCAGGAGAAGATTGTTGAGGCCCATCGAACATGTGCTGTTCAACCAGTGAGTAAGAGAAAGATGTGTATGCGTCCACGGAGTATCCTGTCAGGTTCCTCTGACCTTGACGCAGGACGAGTGTTGTTTGATACCTGATGCAGAGAGGGCAGTTGCTGTGACATCTGGCTGCAGCCATAGTCTATTTGACAAATTGCGTCCCTGTGCGCCTCCAGGAGCGTCCTGTCGAAGTGCCCCAGGTTCAAATTGCAGAGCTGATGATTCAAGCTCGGTCCTGAGAGTTAGAAAAAGATGACCGGTGCCTGCAAAAGTCAAACAGCGGCACATGAGACAGCAACAGTCAGTCAGGTGCCCAAGCCAGAGGTGGAAATGGTCGACAAGGAGGTGCTGTTGCCAGTGCTTTGCAGCTTTTGCCACATGTGCTTCAATGTGATCAGCAGGTTAAGCTGACTAACCAAGCAGCCTGAACTCGACGGCGGCATTGCGTTTTTTGTTGTTTTTCCCGAACGCCTCGCAGAATCGTTCCCGTCTTAAGTGTCGGGGTCCAGGGGTCCAGGATATGTCCGAAGTACTTGCGCAAGCATCTGCGAAGCGTTCGTGAAGCATCCGCCAGTGCTCGCAAAATCGTGCTCCGGCTGTAGGTCTGGAAACCCCACGAAGGTCGCCATCCTCGTAACTGTGGAGTGTGGAGTGGAAAGTGGCAGTGGAGAGTGGAATGTGGAGTGGAGGTGGAATGGAGAGTGGAGCGGAAGGTGAAATTGAGAGTGGAGTGTGAAGCATAGAGAGTGGAGTGGATTGTGGAGAATGGAGAGTGAAGCTGAGTCTGGAAAATGGAGAACGGAGAGTGGAAAGTGGAGAGTGTAGTGTGGAGAATGGACTAGAACGTCGAGTTAAAAGTGAAGTGCAGAGCGGAGTGTCGAGTGGAGTGGAGGTCAGAGTGAAGAGTAGAGTGGAAAGTGGAGCATTGCGTTAGAACCCAAGGAACTCTGAAACCTCTCCTGCCAGCCCTCTCTCCACTCCACAGTCCACTTTCCACTCTCCACTCCACCTCCACCTTCCACTTGCTTTACGCACTTCAGCCTCCACCCATGTTTCACTCGACCTTCCACTTCGCTCCACTTCACTTCACTCCACTCCACTCGCCGCTCCACGCGAGACTCCAGTGCGCCTGTCCATTCCTCCATTCCTCTTTCCACACCATTCTCCGCGCATTTATCCTCAAGGGGCGGTTGTGCTTAGAAAGTCTGTTATAGTCTGATGGCCCAAGTTCGTTCACGGTCCTGCCCTTTTTCCGTCTGATAGGAAGAAGCCATTCCTTTCCTTCCCATCGAATTCCCATTCAAAGCCCTCTGGAATTTCTGAACTTCCTAGGAATTCTGGAGCGGAGAATGGAGCGTGGAGTTTGGAGCTAGGAGGACTGACACATTATCAAGCTGGGCCTCCCAAGGCAATGCTCGGAATTCCTAGGACATTCAAAGAAGAAAGTACTTGGAAATTCCGGGCTTCAAATTTTCTTTTCAGGAGCTCTTTCTTTTCTGGCTTCATAGGCTCTTTCCTCTTGTAGGAATGGGAGCATTTTAAAGTTTGGTTGGGAGTTTTCGCAAAAGTTTTTTCGATGTTATTTTGGGAAGGATTCAGAGGCCGCTTGGAAAAGGTGATCCGACTTAGAAAGCTTTGGGGCAGAGGTTCCTTGGAACAGTTTTTAGGAAATGTTTCGAAAGGTTTTAGAGGTCCCTTGAATTTGTTTCACAGGCTCGCTGGGGAGGTGCTAGAGGTCCTTACAGAAGCTATTTTAGAGGCTTTCGAGATTGTGTCGTGTGTGGCGAGTGTTATCTGCACGAATTATGCGTTGCATGTTTGCATTCGGGTTGTTGGCTCCTATCACTATCAGGTTTCTTTTTGCCCGACAGCGTTGCGATCGGTATGTCCTTGGACGGTATTGTTGATGAATGATATTGTCTGGTGCTCCCCAAAGGTTTAAGAACAGGAGGCTCGGCCAACACGGCGCTTTTTTGTCCCTGAGGCAGTTTAACTCCTAAAGATCGAGGTTTAGAGCTCGACTAACGTGTGAAGCTGTTTGTGTTTGCGAGAAGAAAATTATGGTTGTTGGAGGTTGACATGTTCCCCGTTTGCCCAAAGTCACGAAAGCTAGCGTAGCGAGCCTTTCGTTTCTATCTGCTTTAGCAGTAGGCCCAGGCACCGGCTTGGGGAGGCAATTAATTGATTTATCACAAGGACCCCCCCCCCCCCAAGCTGTAGGCATCCAACAACAATGGCAGCAACATCGCAAACAGCAACAACATCAGCAA